ATCTCTTGCTGTTGCATCAAGCCGGTGTCTTGGAGTCTTGGGTCTTCGCTGTCCACTCGGGACAGAACAGGACCAGCGGTTCGGGGGGTCCTTCAAAACCTCCCCCAGACTTCTGGCCATTCTCTGTCAATATACTGTTTTAGCTGTTTTTTGATGCTATTCTGTAATATTTAGCTTGTATGTGATATTAATAATATTTTTCGTTCATTTTCACATTCTGTTGGATAGCCTGTCTGGGGAATGGGAACAAATAAGAATCTCTCCCAGTCAGTTCGCCAAGTCTTCCAAATTTCTTGGCACAATGTGGTGCGTGAGCCTGTCAAGGGCTACAACTGTTAGTTGAAATGTCAGTTGATATTCCCTCGATGCCTCAGACCTTATTTTCCCAGTGACTTTAGAAGAACCTTGAACGTCTTTCATCACCTTGACTCTTAATCAAATGGTACTTCCTGAAATATTTCAATGCTGATCAAATCTTTTTTTTTTTTGTATTCTGTGTATTTCCGCTATTTAAGGAATAATTATTCTATATTGGATTGTATATAAAGTTCATATATATGGTGTTTCACACATTCCTTCATTCTTATTATGTTTCATAGCATCATTCCCATATACTGTGTTTTATAAAATTAGTCATCATTGATCCATGCCCACCGTTACCCCATCTTTTCAGTTCCTCACTGGCTCATCATTCCTTCACCCCTCCCCCTGCCCACCAAGCCCTGTGACCCTGGGATTTACTCCCTTGCCCACCCTCCCCCTTTCATCTCCCTCCCCCTTCCCTCTTGGACTTTCATACACATCTTACTAGTTACCCTTCTATTTTTACAATTGTTTTTGTGTGAAACAACCATGCAGGCTGCCCGGCAGTGACAGCTGTTGAATATTAAGCTGAATCTGAAATCAAACAGCCCATAGCAAATTCAGAGACACTTACTTCCAAGCCAGTTAATTTTTGAATTTCACCCACCTTGTAGGCAAAGCTCCTTTATTATGCACCTATAGCATTTCCATCTTAAAAGCAAAGTAGCCCCTAAATCCAAGTGGTCAGCTCCATTTACACGTCTATGCCCTGTCAACCTGGACTAGGTGGCCTCAACTGACACTTTGTCGCCCTTTTGTAATGCCTGTTATGCATTTCCCTTTCCTGTGTTATGGGAATATCCTGGTCTCAGATAAGAGGAAGACACAAAGCTGCCACTCATATCAAAGGGTCTTTGATCTAACAAGCAAGAAACCCAAAGGTATGGACGCCCTTTCTTCCCTGTCACCTTAACGTAAATGGAATGTCAATAACCTTATATGAATCTTCCTGTAAAAGTAACCTGGGAGGTGTTTTCAAGTTTAGCTGGCTTTCTCATGGCCCGTCTCTCCCACTCTTTATCCATCTACCTTTTTCCTATTCTACAACATATCAGAATAAATTTTTTTTTAAATTTTCAGTAACTAGAGTGGTTACTCTTTTTTTCCCCTCTAAAAAAAAAATAATGGTCTTACGCAATATTTTTTCTTATGAGACTGAATGAAGTTCACTCAGCATAAATCTTTCTGGGCCCCCCTGTGTTATGCTGCTGTTGTTTTTGTCATGTACCGTAGAGTCGGAACCCACCCCTGTAGCCCATCCTTCTTGTACGTATGTTATGTAGTGTTTTTTAAAATCGTTGCTCCTGACTGCTGTTTGGTATCCCAACATGTGAATATACCACAATTTCTCAATCCAGTTGTTTTTTTGAGCTGTTTCCATGCTCTTGTGATTGTGAATAATGTTTTTATGAACATCGATGTAAAAAATGTTTATGTTTTGTCTTATCAAAGAAACAATTTTTGCCTTGGCAAAAATATGCAACTCTGTGCCAATTCCATAGGTAATACTTTTTTTTTTTTATTTCCATTCATTCATTGTTGTAGTTTTCTCCCCTCCCAACCCTCTCCTCTACTACACTACTCTCCTGGAAAAGTAAAAGAAAAAGTCTTTCATTGTTTTACAATCCCTCCTCCCAGGTCCACTCCACTATACAGCCTTCGCTCTGGACTCCTGTCATGACAAAAATACCTAATCATTTTCCCTCTTAAATAGTTTTCTCCCTCATCTGTTTCAATGCAGTATACATTATTGGACCCATCCTTCTCAGTAATACTTAATTTTAATTCTAATGCTGATGCTACTGATAGGGTGATATTAATAAATTCAGGATTATTCAAACATATTGGTAAAACTGACATCACTTGCCTCCAGCCGGCAAAAACCAGTTTTTTAGCCTAGAATCCTGCTTTTCTTTCTTTAGCCATGTAAAGTACTTTAAACTTCCTGTTTACCAGGAAAGGAAATGGATTCCTGGATTATCATGTACCTGTTTGTAAAAAGTTTTGCTCAGTCATATGTAAATCCTTCCTGGATTAGCATTCACCTCTTTGAATTGTTTTTCTCAGTCATATTAAAACTATGTCAAAAGCTGTCTGTTTACTAGTAACCATACGTAAACTTCTCTTTATGGATGTAAAAATCTTGTAACTTTGAACTAGATTAACACCTAACCCAAGTAAAAAAGCCAATGATCTCTCATAGCCCAGGAGGCAGATTTTAAGGGGATTCTCTCTTCTTCACCAGATCTGCAATAAAATGCTTTGAATACTACAGTCCGTTTGGTGATTGAACAGAACCCTTGCATTCAGTAACTCTACTTATAGTAAATGGTTGTCTCTTAGAAGCAAGGATGGTGAAACTTTGTTTCATACTTTGGGCATGATATCAAGAGGGATCAATCAGTCCTTGAGAAGAGACTTGACACTGAGAAAGGTAGAGGATTTGAAAAAGAAAGGAAGCGACTCCACAAGGTGGATTGACACAGGGCCATAACCCTGGGCGTCAGTGGGGATGGTGCCAAGCAGAGCAAGGTTCTGGTCTGTCATTGCCACGGTTACTATGAGTCCTGGTTGACTCACTGACGCCCGACAGCAACAATATTTACTTCAAATCTGGAAATCAGAAAACCCAAGGCCAAGGTTGGGATATATAAATGTTGTAACATTTCTCTTTATTTTTAAAAGGTTAGTGGTATGAAAAATTAATTTTCATAACATTTTTGTCAGAAAGGTAAAATCCTAGAAAAATCCATAATTGACAGCTTCTGTAATTATGAAATTATAGTAGTACCCTATAGCAAAAGCTGTCTCCTTAGACCTTAATATAGTACCTGATTTTTAACTACATTTTGAATCATCAGGACTAAATGATCAATTATGTAAAAATTTGATAATCTATTCACGTTGTAAACTTTAATTAACCAGAACATTTCCCCCTCCTTTTCCTCCAAATATCTTCATTCTCAATCTCTAAGACAGCAAAACCTCAGTTAACTACATTCTTACCCCCCACCCCAAACCTTCTTTTTCAATCACCTTAGACAGGCTCCATAAATAAATGTAAAGTGAAAAAGATTTGGTTTTAATGATGTTCTGAAAGCTTGTACAGAGAGAAGTGAAAGGCCACCTGGGGGCTGGGCTGCATCTTCTGACCACACCTTCTGAGAGACCTTCCAATCTACCCGGTGTAAGACAACTATCATCAGAAGGAAACCCAGCCATCAGCCACATCTTGCATGCCTGAGCATTAGGAGCTAACAAAGGGCATCCAATCAGCTTTCTCCACGGAGAACTGACCACCAGTTTGACCACCCTACCCCCAACCCCTACCTATAAAGTGTAGCCTGTAATTTTCCTCACTGGTAACTTTGCTGCCTGACCCTTCCTTTCTCTGGACTCAGACAGTAAATCTCCTCCGAGAGCCACTAATAAACTCTTTTGTTTCACTTCGCCCGGTTTTCTGCACCTTTTTTACCTTACAAGAAGCTTAGTTATTGTCTCAAATAACTATTTCAAAAACAATTTCAGAAGAAAGGAGACAGTCTGTTGCAGCCAACAGCCAGAGGGCCGGCGAGGGGTCTGGTCTGGAGTCTCTCCTGCAGATGCTGTGTCAGGGTGCCCCTGATCACCTGTTACTGCAGATGAAACGAATCTACTCCAAAGTCCTTATAAACCGGAAGGCCCTCGGAGGATTGCACTAGAAATAATGGTAGCTGAGCTACAAACTCTGCCTTCAATTAGCTTTATTGTTTTCCTGGGTGAAATCACTGTGGTGAAATAAAACAGGAGCAAATGAGCTCAGTACCCAATTCCTTCAATTGTCCAAAACGGTAAGCAAGACATAGGACAGACTAAAAGGCACTTGTTTTTAGGGTAAATATGGTTCCACAATCAACACTCTTGGTAACAGCACCCAGGAAATCAGGAGACGAATTGCGTTGGGAAAGTCAGCTGTGAGGGACCTCTCAAGAGTACTGAAGAGCAATGGTGTCAGGCTGGAGACTAAGGTGTGCCTGATCCAGGCTATAGTATTCACAATTACGTGCTATGCATTGGAGAGTTGGACAGTGAATAGGGATGATAGAAAGAGAACTGATGCCTTTGAGCTGTGGTGCTGGAGAAGAGTGTTGAATATACCATGGACTGCTAGGAGAACAAGCAGGTTTGTCCTGGAGACGTTGAAGCCAGACTGCTCCTTGGAGTCAAGGATTCTGAAGCTTCGTCTGACATACTTTGGGCATGTTGCAAGGAGGGACTGGTCCTTGGAGAGGGACATCATGTTTGGAAGAGTGGAGGGACGATGCAGGAGAGGAAGACCCTCAATGAGATGGATCAATTCTGTGAGTGGAGTGGTGGGAATGAATGTGTTTGAGATAGCGAGGTTGGCACAGGATAGAACAGTGTTTAGGGCTCTTGTACATAGGGTCACTATGAGTTGCAAACGACTTGATGGCACATAACAACAACAACAATGGATCCTGAAAGGCTACCAGAAGGAACTGAAAGAAACCAGAAGGACTCCATTTCTCATATTCAATCAGGTCAGTCTAACTATGGTCTCCTCCTTCCTGTCAGTGGTATAAATCTTCCAGCTAGAATTGATAGCATTCACCTTTTTATGAATTTTCTTCACTCACCTTCCATGGGGGTGTTACTGTCTGGTCGATTTGCAAAGACAACATCCACATATTCAAGCTGCAGCCTCTGAAGGGAGCCCTTCAATCCTGGGAACAGTTGCAGGAAAACAAACAAAAATCCAAATATAAGAACTGTTAGCATAAACTGACCTTTTGTGTCCCTTCAA